CAACTGCCCTGAACTCACTGCCCTCTCAGCTTCCTCACCCACTCTCCTCACCTTCGTTTCTGGCCCTCACCTCTGCTGCTTCACCACAATCGCTGCAGCCTTCCCTTCCTTTAGGTGCAGCTCAGCCGCTGTGCGCCTTGGGCCCTCACAAACCACCTGAGAGTTTGGGGAGTGGGGAGCAGCAGAAAGGGTGTGTTCCATCTACCTCATGAGGCTTTCACATCAGTCAATGAAAATACATGGAATGCTCAGAGAAGTGCCGAGGGCCGTCTGGACAGAAGGCAGCATTGAACAGGCAAAGCATCGCTGACATGTCCCAGGGCACCCAGAAGTGGTCCAAAGCTCTTGCAGCACGCCATGGGCCCCACACCCAGCACTGTGCCTCTCACTGGCTGAAAGGTACACCTCAGGCAGCTGCACAGACTTCCCAAGAGGCCCCTGGGGCAAGAGAGACCTGGAAGAGATGCCCCTTCCCACTGCTGTTGGGGCAGACTTGCACAGTTAAGAACACAGGTGAAAGCAGAAATGGGTGACAGAGCTAGGGCTGAGAATGGTGACCATGAAAAGGACAAGCTTATCAGAGCTTTGTCCAAAAAGTCCTTTATTCCTGTAAAAAATACCTGGGGACACAGAATGTGAAATGCACAGAACATAACCAGTTATCCTGACAGATAGCCCTCTGCTTCCCACATCCACACACGCCTTAACTAGAGGCCTGAGAAGTGTCAGGGGCTGGGCTACATGGAAGGTGGGCTGTTTTTGCAGCTCTGCAGCCTCTTGGTGCTGTGTGAGGACCTGGCAAATACAAAAGGAGCTAGGATTATTAAAGGCCAGAGACCAGAACTCTTCCCCTGGCTGGGCCTGGCAGCAACAGGCCTTGCCTTGCACGGGGGGCGACTGCCGCCAGCTGACTAACCCACTTCAGCTCCTGCTCTGGCAACTCACACACCCACTAACCCAGGCTGCAGCAATCTACTTCTGCAGAAGTATTTTTAAGTCCTCAAAATGCTGTGGCTAACCTTTAAATAAGAGAGGTCTAAATAAGGTGACAGCTTTTCAGTTTCTGAGACAAGCTGGCTGACACCCAAGGATGATCAACTGTAATCAACTGACACAAGGAGGAGGCCCCGGAGCAATGCCACCTGCCATCTGTCCAAAATAAATGAGTACCACAGAGGGCGGAAAGGAAAGGTCACGCAGCACGAAGCCGGGACCCCGAGAGGCTTGGCCTCTACCTGCAGGCGGTTACAAAGGAAGGACGGACACACAGGGTCTGAACTCTGAAGGTTGCTGCAAAGGGGATGGCTGTGGGGTTGCATTTGGAGGGGGAAGACTGTTCAGAACTGGGCATGACTGAATGCTGATGAGCAGCCAGCCAGCCACAATGGGAAAGAGCAGAGAGAGTCAGAGCAAGGTCCCTGAGGGAGGGAGGAGGCTGGTAGGTGGAGGTCCAGGTGTAGGGGGCGGCCTCAGACCAGAGAAGCACACCTGAAGGTCAGAAAGTTGAGTGCCCTTCAATTCTTACTTTCTCCGCAAGCTGGTGGAGTGATGTGCAGAGTGATGATTAAGGAATTGAGGTGCTGAAGGAGAAGGAATACACTTGGAGGTGCTGCTGTGCAACAGGCAGAACCAACCAGGGCAAGGGTAAGGATGGGAATGGAGCCCAGCAGCAGGACTCTGCAGACTGTTCAGTGGCCTACAGGAAGACAGTGAGCCAACAGAGCTGCTGAGTGATGACGGACGGCAAGGCAGCCAACTGCTAGGCCACACAAAAGAGGAAGAGAAGGGAGTGTTTTAGGCAGCAGTGCACGGTGAGAGTTGGAACAAAGGCATGGCGAAGATCTGGGGTCAAGACAAGTATTTGTGCAGTAATTTCCTAGTCTGGAGATATTTCTGGCTGCACAACTGTGCTGTGTGGGTGCTGTTGGCATCTAGTGCATAGAGGTCAAGCACATTGCTAATTATCTTGCAACGCACATGGCAGCCTCCTCCACCTCCAAAGGATTCTCTGGTCCCAACTGTCACTAGAGCCAAGGCTGAGAAAACCTGCTCTAGGTCAAAGGTTGTCACAAAAGGCTGCTCAGCATTGAAGGCTATTTTACTACTCCTGCAGACCACACTGGTATCACCGCTCAGTGAGATCACATGTTTTCTGGGCAAGTTGTGCTAGATCGTTTAGAGAGGCTGCACCTTGTTGAGACTTTAGATTTAAGAGTAACAAACACCTGCGGGCTCCAAGGCCACATGGAGAACTTGGGCACACAGGCAGGGGAGTAAGCTTAAATTGTTCAACAAGGACCCAGCACTGAAAGATGACTGAATGAGCTGTGCTATGACCAGGGAGACAAGGTAATTCCATTGAAATTGCCCAAAATTCTAACGTTGATCAGAGGCAAGCATTTGGCCTAGAGAATGATGTTGGTTGGGATACCCATATACTATGCTGGAGTGCCTGGGTTCAAGTTCCAACTCTGGCTCTTTATTCTCGCTTCCTGCTGATACAGATCCTGGGAGGTGGTGCTGATGACTCAAGTAATGGGGTTGCTGCAACCCATGTGGGAGACCTGGACTGTGTTCCTGGCTCCTAGCTTCAGCCTGGCCCAGGCCCGCTCATTAGAGGAATGAACCAGTGGATAGGAGCTCTCTTCCTCTCAAATAATTAATTAAAATATTCCAATGTTCAAAAAGCAGACCACAGACACAAGGGTTGAAAAACATTTGGCTTCAGCCACAGAAATGGTTAAACCAATCAAGGCTCTCGATTTCGATGGAGATGGTCTTGCAGAGTCAGAATCATTCAGGCATTTACTAAAATAAATACTCCTGGGCCCTCTGGGATGTGTTTCAAAAGCTCCCCACGGATTCTGATGCACAGCCAGGTTTGGAAAACACTGGGTGAAATTAAGAAGAAAGAATTCAGAATGGAAGTTGGAGAAGGCCATACTTAACGAATGGAAGAGGGGCAGTAAGGTTCCCAGAATAACCTATTTGAGGCTGAGGCTTCCTGAGGAGGACGCACTCACTTCAGCAGCAACTATGAACGTCTGGTGCTGCTGCTGTCCTTAGGTATCAGGTAGCTCTGGGGCTTCCTGGGCTGGGACAAAAAGAGAGCCTGGGAAATCGTGGCTTCTTCCTGGACATTCCCATGTCAGAGCAGGCAGCTGCTGGTCAGGCACCAGCACGGCCCCTACCGTTCTCTCCCTGACAGGCATGTGTGTTTCTGTGTCTCCCTTAGCATCACGTGTTAGACTGGAAGTAACTACAGATAAAGAAAACTAGTCATTAGGTGATTTAATTTTCCATAGGTCAGCTTACATTTAGTTTGATAGATTTTTGCTTTATATGTGAACTAAAATGACTTGCCTTCCAGAATCTTGGATTTCTGTTTCAGTACCACACAGCTTTCCCTAGCCTCAAAACAGATTATTGTGTGTGTAAGTAAAATAAAGCTGCAGCCTCACAGAGACAATTACTTTATTAATTCACATGTTCTGTATTTTAAGAGAGCTGGAGTTGTGTGATGTCTTTAAAAGAACAGAGGGAAGAAGGAAGAAGAAGTCTTTAGTTTCAGGTTTTTCAGTAAGTGATTACATATTTTTCCATTCACCATTTGGAACTGTGCAGCTTTTAAAAATTTATTGATTTATTTGACAGGCAGGCAGACAGAGTTAGAAACAGACAGACACAGAAAGAGAGCTCCCATCTGTTGCTTCAGTCTCTAAATGCCTGCTGGGCTGGGCTTGGCTGGGCTGGGCTGAAGCAGGAACCAGGAACTCAATTCAGGTCTCCCACATGGGTGGTGGGAACCCAATTACTTCAGTCATCATGGCTGCCTCCCAGAGTCTGCCTTAGTAGGAAGCCAGAGACACTAGCCAGAGCTAGGTATCAAACACAGGTACTCTGATGTAGGATCTGGGAATCTTAACTGAAATCTTAACTACTAGGCCAAACGCCTGCCCCCAGAATTCTGTATGTGAATGTTTCACTTTCCCTAGCTTGGGATAGGACCATGGTGGAAATAAACAAGCTTATAAAGAGTTTGCACTTCTGAAGCACCAGAGTACTAGTGAACACTCCCTTCTGAAGGGAGGTGTGGGTCCTATGTAGCAAGCACTGACATTAAGGTAGACTTTTACACTGGCTCCACCATTTCTGAATCATGGAATTCTGAAATCTATTACTGGCTTCAATATCCTTCACTGCACAATCAAGACTACTTGGAAGGGCTGGTGCTGTGGCGTAGTAGTTAAGCTGTCACCTGTGGCACTGGCATCCCTCATGGGCGCAGTTCAATTCCCTGTTGTTCCACTTCTTATCCAGCTCCCTGTTAATGTGCCTGTGTAAGCAGTGGAAGATGGCCCAAGTGCTTGGGCCCCTATACCCATGTGGGAAGCCCAGAAGCAGCTCCTGCCTTTGGTCTAGACCAGCTCTGGCCATTGTGGTATTTGGGGAGTGAAGCAGCAGATGGAAGATTTTTCTCTTTGTCTTTCCGTTTCTCTGTCTGTAATTCTCAAATAAATAATCAAAAAAAATTTTTTTGACGATTACTTGGAGGACCACATGAGACAGTAAATGTAATCTGCCCAGAATAGAGAACCTGACCCAGAGCTGACACAAGGGCAACATCGGTCCTTCCCACCTCGTATAATCTAGGCTCTGTCCCTAGACTGGGTACCAGAGTCAGGTGAACGCTGTGAAGCTCTCACAGAAGGCCTAGTGATGAACTGACTTAACATGCAGAGGAACATGGGCTGCTTTTGCAACTCAGAGTCCACATACTTATGATGTGCTAGGTGTTTGTGCACATACATTTCTCCTAACAAGAAAAGGCTGTGTAGCTGGTACTTGTGAGGTCAAATTGCTCCCTGCCAATCACAGCCTCGCGTTATGGGCGATGTGTGGGAGGGCTTTGGTCTGCCAGAGCAGCCACAGAGTGGGCAGGTCGACACCCACTCTCACACATCAGCATCACGCTTGTTAAATAGAGAAAGCTGACATACTTGCAGGGGAGAATCCGGACCACATCATTCTGCTTGTAGCTCTCTATGCAGACTGCACAATGGTCAAAGTCTGGGTCTGTCTCCTGAAAGGAAAGCACGAGAACAAAAGTCACCTCTTCAGAGTGCACAAATGGGTCTCCACAACGTTCAGCAGGAAATTTCCTGGGGGCAACTATGATAGGAAGGTGCTAATGAAGTGAAAGCTATTAAGAAGAATTGATGAAGTTTTCATTAGCTTAGCTATATTGACCCAAAATACATCTGGGCCAATCTACTTTGCTTTAAAATTATGGTGTAACAATCAATACCAGTTCTCTTTATGATATATCCTAAAAGTAAGTCACAATTGCTATTTTTTTTTTTTGACAGGCAGAGTGGACAGTGAGAGAGACAGAGAGAAAGGTCTTCCTTTTGCCGTTGGTTTACCCTCCAATGGCCGTCACGGCCGGCGCGCTGCGGCCTGAGCACCACGCTGATCCGATGGCAGGAGCCAGGTACTTATCCTGGTCTCCCATGGGGTGCAGGGCCCAAGCACCTGGGCCATCCTCCACTGCCTTCCCTGGCCACAGCAGAGAGCTGGCCTGGAAGAGGGGCAACCGGGAAAGAATCCGGCGCCCTGACCGGGACTAGAACCCGGTGTGCCAGCGCCGCTAGGTGGAGGATTAGCCTATTGAGCCGCGGCACCGGCCACAATTGCTAATTTTTTTTAAGATTTACCATTATACCCCATTTTCTCTGCACTCTGGTCCATCTGAACAGGTTTCAGTGCACGCCTTCACTCACCAGGATGCTCACATAACCGCATGCCCCTGCACAGGCGGAAAAGATGCCGTGTATCCAGCAGACCTACCACGCTTGGGAGCTGTGCATCAGGTCACAGGTCTGGGACGGAGAAGTCATTGGCTCAGTTCAACAGTGGGACTTCCTAACTCAGGAGTTAGGAAGAGTCAGCAAGGTGTCTGATCACTAGTTTAGCTGCTTTCCTTCCTCCTCAGGGCCTGAGCTGTCACAAAACAGCATGCTGGTTACCCAGGCAAGGAAAGTAGTAAGACTATGTGACCAGTCACTGTCATTTGGACTAAACACTGTGGGACAACTCTTGCCAAGTCTAGGAAGTACAAGCTAAGAAGATGCACTGGCTTTAATAACTGAAAGAAAGATTTTTTGGGGCTAGTTTGGGGTACAAAGTAAGAAGGTAGGTGAGAGCAGCTCCAAGTAATTTCTAATTAATGGCGGCTGATGGCCATCCAGCCCAGACAGCATTTGTACTGCTTACCACTGCTCTGGGGTTAAAAGGTGGCTGTTTTGATGCTACTTGTATTTTCTGTAAGAGATTCCCCCTCCTTTTTTTCTTTCCTTAGTGTAATGAGGTTCACTCACAATGTTTCCACCATAGAGAACAGCGTCAAGGGCAACTACATATGGCCGTGTCAAAGCAATGGGAATAAGCATGGGTAAAGTTCGAGAGTGATAAAACAGGTGGAGAATCACATGAAATTTTCCTCCCACAGCTCTTTGCCAAAATGTTGGGCACAGGTCAGGAGATGGTTTTGGTTTATCCTGTGAAGATACAGACAACCTCCTCATTATCCAGTGAACCCAGAATATCCTGCAGTTTGGTCTCTGTCCTAATGGAGGAGAGGCAGGCTCCACCACAACCTGAAATCTGACTAGGGAATCCTGCTTAGACGCAGTCTCTTCTGCTGCCTCTGACTTGGTCCCTTGAGAATGAGCCCGGCCTTGACACACTGCGCTCCTTTTCCTTCAGGAGACAACCCTGTTCATGGTTACTCCCTAGACCTGGGGCCTTCAGTCTTCCATCAACCAATGAAGAAACAAAACATAAAGGGATGAGCAAAGTCACAGAAAGTACAAAGAGAAAACACACATCTTCTGGCTATTTAATGTACAAAAAAAATCCCACTAGAACTCTTTAAACATGCACATGTTAGCTTTTAGCAGAACAAAACTCTAGAAAAACACAGCTAAAGTGTGATAGTAATAATGATGACAGCATTCACAGTGCAGGAAAGTGAAAGGGTTCCAGGAAAGGTACCATGTGACAGGCATTCTAAGAATAGATCTCAAAGAGAAGGTAGTTTAAAATTAAAGCTTTGGGTAGCACACCCAGAGAAAAACAACACTAAGAGACAAGACACAAATAGGTGTGTTCTCCACCAGCAGACAGAAACAACACAAGTTTTTCATTTTTCACGGTGCTGGTTATCTCATTTCCATACCTTATCGCCCTTTTTCACTGTTCTTGTTGTCAATTTACTGATGGCTTTCTTGGCTGCATCTCCAAGACGACGCTATGAAAATTGCAAATAAAAACAGACATTAGTGTGAGCTCTCTGAATGATGTTCTTTTGTTAAGAAATAACTAAATGTATAAAGCCCCTATTATCTTACACTGTCATTTTATGTAAGAGGATTCTAAAGATGCAGTTAAAAAATCAGGAACAATAGCAACTGTCCCACACACTCAGCTTTCTGTCGAACACTGAAGGTGTACACAGTAGGAAAGTGAGGAGTCACAATCACTGTTGCACAAACACATGAAACATGATCACATTATCAACATCTTCCCACACCCTCCAGAGCTCTCACAGCTTCCTTGTTTTGCCCCAGGAACGGTCACCATTAGATGCATAATTGCACCATTAAGTGTGAGAGGTGGGTTCTGCTCCAGCAAGGCTCTGTAACTGTGGGAAGGCTTACTGACTTTTCCACAGTTATTCTCGCATTTCTGGGAGAAGCACAAGGCTGGATGTATCCAACATTCTACCACACATTGCTAGACACCAATGACCCTAAAGCGAAACAACAGAACCCATAACATTGTAAAGCTAACTAACTGCATTAGGCAACAGGCCAGTAAAACACCAGCCTCTAAGGCTGTACCACAGAGCCTTGCAGCAGCACACAGGGGATGACCTCATGCAGGTGCAGCAGGGCAGGGCACAGGATGGTGCCAGACTTTGAGGGAAGGATGCCTGAGCTAAGACCTGGCAAACTGAGTAGGAGCCAGATGAGGAAAAGCCTAGGCACATGAAAGGGGATTCTAGACAAAGGAAAAGCCCAGGAAGACAAACAGGTGCAAGGTATGGGGATGGGAGGACAACATCTATTTCACCATGTACACCAGGATGCTCCGTGAGTAAGGGGCCCTCAGTATTCACACGGGCTCCCCAGCTATCAATTGGGGCCATCCCAGGCACCCAGGACAAACAGGCACTCCATACACAGTAGGACCCTAAACTGGGAAGAGGCAGATGTTGAAGCTGAGGTAGTGAGGTGGGGACCAAAACAAGTGAGTCTACATGAGGATAAAAAAATCATTAAAAAACAAAAAACATTTTTGGAGGAAATCAAAAAACACACAAAATATAGTAACTTAATGGGTTCCAACAATCAATATTCTACCTCTAGTTTTCACCTGTTCTCCCTTCTTTACTGTGCTAGATTTCAAACAGCACAGGCATGATATAATTGTGCCCATCAGGACCTCATCACTCATCTCCAACAGGCACACGCTTCTGCTGGATGCCACTGTCTTGCGTGGCACAGCAATTAACCTCATATGAACCACACTACAACTTCTCAGCTGTCTAGTCTTTTCATAGCTGGCTTGCCTGAAACAGGACACAATGTCCAAACATGGCATTTGGCTGCTGTCTCTCAAGTCTCTTTCAACCTGTTAAGAGCTCCCTCTGTCATACTTTCTTTTGAAAAAACATCCTATGGAGGGGCTGATGTGGCACATAGTATGTTAAGCTGCCACTTGTGATGCCAGCATCTCCTATCACAGTGTGGTTTGAGTTCCAGCTGCTCTGCCTCCAATCCAGTTCCCTGCTAACGTGCCTGGGAAGGCAGTGACGATGGCTCAAGCACTTGGGTCCCTGCCACCCACATGGGAGACTGGATGGAGTTACAGGTTCCTGGCTTGGGCCTGGTCCAGTCCTGGCTGTTGCTGACATTCAGGGAGTGAAGCAATGGATGAAGATCTCTCTCTCTCTGTCACTATTCCTCCCACCCCCACACCATCCCTGACATTCTGCCTTTCAAATAATAAATCTTAAAAAAAAAAATTATTGGGGCCAGCGCTGTGGCATAGTGGGTTAAGCCACCACCTGCAGTGCCAGCATCCCATATGGGCACTGGTTCGAGAACCAGCTGCTCTACTTCTGATCCAGCTCTCTGCTATGGCCTGGGAAAGCAGAAGATGTCCTAAGACCTTAGGCCCCTGCACCTGCATGGGAGACCTGGAAGACGCTCCTGGCTTCGGATTGGCACAGCTCTGGCCATTGCAACCATTTGGGGAGTAAACTAGGGGATGGAAGACCTTTCTTTCTCCCTCTCTCTCTGCCTCTCCTCTCTCTGTGTAACTCTGAATTTCAAATAAATAAATCTTTAAAAAAAAAATCAGTATGGAGACTGACTTAAAACAAAGTGTTATTAATTAAAGTGTGCTCATCGACCTGTACTTTGAAACGCTGCACCTTTCAGGTACTGCCTTGGTGGCACCTTCTGAAGAATTCAGTCACTGTGCTTTCATCTTCAGTCCAAATGGCTTTCTAATTTCCCTTTGATTTCTTGCTCGTCCCATGGGTTATTTAGAAACTGATTTCCAAACATTTGGGTTTTTCCGGAGGTCTTCCTGTCACTGACATATTTAACTCCAGGTGTTCAGAAAACACTACATTGTTTGAACCTGAATCCTTTTACATTACTGACTTGTTTCATGGCCTACAGCACACTTCAAAAGGATGTGTTCTGTTTTTGTTGACTGTAAATCAGGTCAAGTTAGTTGATTACACTGTTAAGGTGTTTTATTACTGATTTGTCTTTTTCTTCTAAAGATTTATTTACTTGAAGGGCAGAGTTAAAGGGAGAGAGAGGGAGACTTGCGGAGGGACAGAGGGATCTTCCATCCGTTTGTTCACTCTCCAAATGGCTGTAATAGCCAGGGCTAGGCCAGGCTGAAGCAGGAGTCTGGAATTCCATCCAGGTATCCAAGGTGGGTAGCAGGAGCCCAAGCATTTGCACCATCTTCTGTTGCTTTCCCAGATAAATGAGCAGGGAGCCAGATAGGAAGAGGAACAGCTGGGACTTGAACTAACACTCACCCAGGTGGCAGCCTGACCCCATTTCCCCACATGCCAGCCCTACTTATTCTTTCAGTAATTGAGTTCTGAAATCTTTGACTACATTGTGGGTTTGCATATCTCTCACTGTAGTTGTATCAACTCTGACTTCCTGTTTTTGAAGCTTTGTGTGCACAAATGTTTATGACTGTTAAGGGTCTTTGTTGAATTCATGGTTTGATTGTTAAGAAATGACTTTCATCCCTGGCAATAGCTCTGCTCTGAAATCTGTGTATTAATGTAACCACTTCAATTATATCTTGTGTTAGGATGATACTACTTTTTACATCCTTTTAACTTATTTCTATTTTTGTATTTAAAATTGTATTTATTTATCTAAGAGGCAGAGAGATGGGGGCGTATTGATCCTATCTAGTAGCTCACTTCCTAAATGTGTTTCCTGTAGGCAGGATATGGTTTAGTCTTTTTTTTTTAAATTTAATCTGGTCTGCTTTTCCCCAGGGCGTTCAGACCACATACTTCCAAGTGATTATTGATATGGTGATGCTAGAATCTACATCATACTTCTAAGTCCCACCTCTTCTCTATTCCCCTTTTCCTCTTTTAATGCCACCTTTTGAGAATTTGTAGATTCCATAAATCTCCATTGTGCGCTTAGTTATAACTCTTTATTACTTTAGTTGTTGCTTTAAGATTAAAATATATGAGGGCCCTTCCAAAAAGCTCATGGAGAGGCAGGTATTTGGCTTAGCAGCTGGGATGCCCGTGTCCGATACTGGAATACATGGGTTCAATTCTGGCTCCACTATAGATTCTGGCATCCTGCTAAAGCAGATCCTGGGAGGCAATGGTGAGGTCTCAAGTGTTTGGGCTCCTGCCACCCAGGTGAGAGACCTGAATTGAATTGCTGGGTCCCAGCTTCAGCTCTGCCTGGCCAGTGCCCACTGTGGGCACTGGGAATGAACCAGCAGATGGCAGCCTGCTCATCCTCTCTGCCTCTCAAACAAATAACAGTTAAAAAAAAAAAATCAGAAAAAATGGAATTAAAGCTAGCTTTATTTTAGTGCAAAAAATTCTGAAATTTAATGCATAGCTCTTTCATGAGTTTTTTTTTAAGCAATTTTTGTTTTTTAAAGTTAGTGGGTTAAGATTTATTTGAGAGGCAGAGTTACAAAGAGGGGGGGGGGGAGATAGGTCTTTCATTCACTGGTTCTCTCCCCAAATGGCTGCAATGACCAGGGCTGGGCTGATTCCAAGCCAGGAGCTTCTTCCAGGTCTCCCACATGGGTGCAAGACCCCAAACATTTGGGCCATCTTCCCCTGCTTTCCAAGGCCATTAGCAAGGAGTTGGATCAGAAGTGGAGCACCTGGGACTTGAACTGGTGCCCAGATGGGATGCCAGTGTTGCAGGCAGAGGCTTAACCTACTAAGCCACAGAGCTGTCTCCCCCTTCACCCCCTCCCCCCCCCCTTTTTTTTTAAAGATTTATTTGAAAGGTAGAGCTAGAGAGGGAGATCTTCCATCTGTTGGTTCACTCCCCAAATGGCCGCAGCGGCTGGAGCTGGGCCAGGCTGAAGCCAGGAGACAGGAGCTTCTTCTGGGTCTCCCATGTGGGTGCAGGGGCCCAAGCATTTGGGCCATCTTCTGCTGCTTTCCCAGGCACATTAGCAGGCAGCTGGATTAGAAGTGGAGCAGCTGAGTCACCTACTGGTCCTCATGGGATGCCAGCATCACAGGTGGCAGCTTAACCCACAGCACCACACTGGCCTCCTCTGTGAGCTTTCTGAAGGAAGACTCCTCATGTGTCTCTAACTTACCACAGTCTAACTTCAGGTGACTCTAACACTTCACTTAAAAATTTTAATTGCACTAAAACACACATATAAAATTTACCATCTTAGTAATTTTTTTTTCATCTTAGTAATTTTTAGAGTGTACAGTTCAGTGAGTTAAGAACATTCACGTTGTGGGGGGTGGGGTTGGGAGAGTTGGTATTGTGGTATGATGGGTTAAGCTGCTACCTACAACGCCATCGGCAGGGGCTTAACCTGTCACACCACAATGCCATCATCCCATGTTGGTGCTGGTTCAAGTCCTGGCTGCTCTACTTCCCATTCAGCTCCCTGCTGGTGTGCCTGGAAAAGCAACAGAAGATGGCCCAAATGCTTGGGCCCCTGGCACCTCTGTGGGAGACCTGGAAGAAGCTTCTGGCTTTGGCCTGGCCCAGCGCAGGCCATTGTGGCCATTTGGAGAATGAACCAGTGGATGAAAAATCTCGCTCTTTTTCTGTGACTCTGCCTTTCAAATAAGCAAATTTTTCATATGGTACAATATATTTTCCATTTTTTTTTAAACTTCTGGTGTCATCAAAGAAATCCAAGTGAAATCCAATGTCATGAAGCTTCCCCTTTGTCTTGTTCTAAGAGTTTTATAGTTTTAGCTCTTTGGGTCTTGGATCCATTTTGAGTTAACTTCTGTATTGGGTGTAGATTAACAGTCCAGGTCACTCTCCTGCTTGTGGACATCCAGTTTTCTCAGCACCACTACTGGAGACAGTCCTCTCCCCACTTAATGGTCTTGGCACCTTTGCTGGAAGTCATCCGACTGTATTTGTGAGGGTTAATTTTTGAGTTCCTATTCTATTCCATTTGTCTATTTATCTGTCTTTAGCCAGAACCATAAAGCTCAATTGTAACTGTGTTGTAAGTTTTGTCTTTTTGATGCTATTTATTGCAAATGGAATTCTTTTTGGATTGTTCAGTTAGTAGACTACCCTCTCAGGCCCTACTGGATGACAATCCCTTAGCCTTGGGCTGTTAGTCCACATGTGGCTGATGGGTGTTCCAGTGAACGGCAAGGTGGTGGGACCCTCTGCATCTCTCTCCCCTTCAGCAGAGCTCTGCGGATGCTGGCACCTTGCTCTGCCTGGGCCCTCGGCTGTCTTCTCCTGGAGTCGCCCTCTGTACACTGCTGCCTGGAAACTCACTTGACACACTGAGATGGACAATCCTGGGGCTGTCTCCCTTACTCAGGAATCTGGCTTTTGTTGCCTGCATCTTCAGAATGCTGTTCCCTATCACCCCCGACTCCCCAGCCCTCACCCTGGCACTGTTCTAGACAGGAGGATAAACCAAGTCTATTATTCCACCTTGGCCAAAAGCAAAAGTCTTTCTCATACTTATTTTAAAATACCATTTAAAAAAGACAAAATTGGATTATTTCTTCTTTGAACATCTCTTCCCTCCCCCTTTCAATCTGGCTAGTTTCCTCCTGGTATCATTTTTCTTGATCCACTTCTTACAAAATGGTTTTGAGTCTCAAGGCTAGGTGTCTTGGCAAGAATGCCTCCTCAGCAGGATGTCATGTAAGAGCGTCCCGCTTTCGGTGACACAAAACATGATGAGCAGGCTTAGGCTCTGCTGCTCTTCTCTGTGCATCAGCCTTAGCTCCTATCAGTTTCGCGTGTGATTTTAGGATCTAGTGACGATATCTGCCTAAGTCTGTCATTTCATGAAGGGATGCAAAACAGTAGTTTTCTAATTCTATAAAACATTTGTTACTTAAAATTCTTCTATAAGGTACTTTCCCTTATCAACTGGTTGGTTACTACTCAATGATTTGTATAGGGAAACCAGGATGAGTATTTTTTTTCCCCCAAAAATTGGCTTGTTGGGGCTGGCATTCTGGTACAGTGGGTTAAGCTGCTACCTGCGACACCAGCACCCCATACAAGGACTGGTTCATGTCTAGGCTGTTCTACTTCCAATCCAGCTCCCTGATAATGCACCTGGGAAAAAAGAGAAAGACAGCAAGCACTTGGGGCACCCACACAGGAGACGCAGATGGAGTTCCTGGCTCCTGGTTTTGGCCTATTCCAGCCCTGGCTGTTGTGGCTAGGGAAGTGAATCAAAGAATGGAAGAGATACATCTCTCTCTCTCTGTCTCTCCCTCCCTCTCTCTCCCTAACTCTGCCCTTCAAATAAATAAGAGCAATTGGTTCATCCTAATAACCTCCAGTTCCGGTCAGCTGCAAATTCTCTTCCTTGGATGCTGTGATTGCCTCTATTAGGCTGTCATACTGAGGCCCTTTCATTCCACCTCAGAACAATCTCCAGGAGCTTCCCTGCTTTATGGCACATGCTCATTTTATGCCTGTCCTGCCTTACCCTGGAATAAGCCACTTCCCCGAGGACCCCTGGTTGCTCTGGGTGGGAAACGGCATGTAGGGACAGTCCCACGGCATCCTGAGGGTAGAATGGGTAGAGCAGAGTCATTATGTTATTAAGAATGTAAAATGGTCATTTTCTAATTCTGTCATTCTCTGCATTTATTCATGGATATTCTTCTATAAACAGGGACACTGCGTTGTCATTGCTATGAACATAGGAGTTGTGTTTTTAAGAAAAAAATATAGGCTCATACTGACTCTTACAATTCAAAAATACGATTATAGGGTTATTATTCTTATTCTGAAAACCTTGGTTTCTAACATCATTACATAATTACAGCTTTGCTTTACCCTACAATATACGTAATAATTTTACAACAATAATCAACATTCTACTAACAAGAATGCTATGCAGCTTAGAATTTTTTGAACCTTTAGAATATATTCCAATAGAAACGCAGCATAAAAAAGTTCTCTAAAGGGGATGGTGTTGTGGCATAGTGGTAAAGCTGTCACCTGAGACATGCATCCCATATAGGCACTGGTTTGAGCCCCAGCTGCTCCACTTCTGATCCAGCTCACTGGCAATGGGCCTGGGAAAGCAGTGGATGATGGCCCAAGTGCTTGGACCCTTGTACCTATGTGGGAGACCCGGAAGAAGCTCCTGGTACTTGTCTCCTGGCTTCAGCCTGGCCCAGTTCTGGCCATTGAGACCATCTGGGGAGTGATCCAGCAAATGAAAGATCACTCTCCCCCCCCCCCCCCCTTTACTCTGACATTCAAATAAACTAAATAAATCTTAAAAAAAAAAAAACTGTCTGCAAAACAATTCCTTTCTTTGTACATTTGTGCTACCACCCTGAAGTATATTTAGGTTAATTTATTCCCATTTATTTTCAATCTTAATGATTTTTTTTTAAAGTTATATAAAATATATAACGGTTCTGAAGTCAGAACCATAAAATCAGGCCCAATAAAGTCCCACTTCCATCTCTGGCTCGAAACTTTTTGTTTTATCCTTGTTTCCTTTTGAAAATTAAAGTTATGTATGTATGATATATGCATATGAGTGAAATTTTAAAAGTTCACAGAAAACAGAATTGAGAGAGAAGTTTATTCTGGTGCAAAACCATTTTGAAATACATGCATCTGAGAGGGTCTTCAAAGAAAGTTCATGGGAAATGTGTATTATGAAAGAACTATGGGGGCCGGCACTGTGGCGTAGCAGGTTAAGCTGCCGCCTGCAGTGTTGGCATCCCCTAAGGGTGCTGGTTCGAGTCCTGGCTGTTCCACTTCTGATCCAGCTCTCTACTATGACCTGGGAAAGCTGTAGAAGATGGCCCAAGTCCTTGGGCCCTTGCACCCATGTGGGAGACCAGGAGGAGGCTCCTGGCTCCTGGCTTCAGATTGGTACAGCTCCGGCTGTTGCAGCCAATAGGGGAGTAAACCAACATATGGAAGACCTCTCTCTCTCTCTGTCTCTCCTCTCTGTGTGTAACTCTCACTTTCAAATAAATAAATCTAAAAAAAAAGAAAAAACTACAGACGGATTTCAAATTATTATTATTTTTTTTAACAGTCAGAGTGGACAGTGAGAGAGAGAGAGAGAGAGAGAGAAAGGTCTTCCTTTTTGCCATTGGTTCACCCTCCAATGGCCGCCACAGCCAGCTCGCTACGGCCGGTACACTGCGCCGATCCGAAGGCAGGAGCCAGGTGCTTCTCCTGGTCTCCCATGGGGTGCAGGGCCCAAGCACTTGGGCCATCCTCCACTGCACTCCTGGGCCATAGCAGAGAGCTGGCCTGGAAGAGGGGCAACCGGGACAGAATCCGGCACCCCGACTGGGACTAGAACCTGGTGTGCTGGCGCCGCAAGGCGGAGGATTAGCCTAGTGAGCCGCGGCACCAGCCTCAAATTATTTTTGTACCACACCAAAATAAACATCCTCTAATTAATTTTCCATGAAATCTGAAGCTCTCATGTACATGGATACATACATCCACATACTTGCATATTTGAATGTGTTTTCATAAAATACTGTATTAGACCAAAGCTGCTCTGCACCTTGTGTTCTCCTGGTAGCAATTACCCTAAAGGTCTCACTCTGTAGGAGCATGCAGAGATCCTCAGAGCTCCTTTCTTTTCACAGCTACATGGCACTCCACTGCATCCAGAGTATTTCAAATGCTGATTCTACTGATGGATATCTGGGTATCTGAAGTCTGTCTGTCTTTCTTTCTTTCTTTCTTTCTTTCTTTTTTTTTTTAATTTATTTACTTATTCTAAAGGCAGGGTTACAGAGAGCGGGGGAGACAGGAAGAGAGGGAGAGAGGGAGAGACTTCCATCTGTTGGTTCAGTCCTCAAATGGCAGCAATGGCTGGAGGTGGGCCAATCCGTAGCCAGAAGCCAGGAGCCAGGAGCCAAGAGATTCTTATGGGTCTCCCATGTGAGGGGCCCAAGGACGTGGGCCATCTTCCACTGCTTTCCCCGGCCATAGCAAAGAGCTGGATCAGAAGTAGAGCAGCTGGGACTCGAATCAGCGCCCATGTGGGATGCCAGCATGACAGGCGGTGATTTTACCCACTATGCCACAGTACCAGTCCATCTCAAGTCTTTTGATATTATAAATAATAACATAATATATATACATGCATATTTGTCACTTTTTTAAAGTTTATCAACAAATTCCTACAAGGGAGTTACTAAGACAAAGGATAATCATACATGCAGTTGTCTACGCATTACAAATTCCTGCCACCCCACCACAGCAGTGGTAACACTTTACATTCCCACTAATGTATGAGCATGCCTGTATTCCCTATACCCTTGCCAAGGATATGTTGTCAAACTTCTGAATTTTTGCAAAATTGATCAGTAAGGAATTGTATTTCAGTATATTTTTAAGTCATATTTAATTTATAAGCCTCAACATCTTTTAACATTTTAAGGAGTATTTATATTTCTTTTTAGTGATACCTCTATTCAATTTTTATTTCATTTTTAAAATTTTTATTCACTTGTTTTTACTTTAGTTGAAAGGCAGAGACAAGGAGTCATCTTCCATTTGTTAGTTCACTTCTCAAAAGCTCACAGCAGCTAGAGCTGGGCTAGCCCAAAGCCAAGAGCCCAGAAGTCCACCCAGTTCTCAACCTGGGTGGCAGGGATCCAAATATTTGGGTTATCTCCTGCAACTTCCCAGGATGCAAATTAACAGGAAGCTGGATTGAAGTGGAGGAACCAGGCACTGTGGTGTGGGATGTGGGCCTTCTAGGTGGCATTTTCACTGCTGTGCCAAATGCCTTCAACCTGGCCCAGTTTTCATGTCGGATTTTCAATTTTCACTATACAGTGGGAACATTAGTCCTTTGTAATATAAATCATAAGTACCTTTCTCTAACTTGTCATTAATTTATCTTTTGATTTCCTTAACATTCTTCCTTTAAAAAAATTTTTTTTTTGACAGGCAGAGTGGACAGTGAGAGACAGACAGAGAGAAAGGTCTTCCTTTGCCGTTGGTTCACCCTCCAATGGCCGCCATGGCTGGCGTGCTGCGGCCGGTGCACCGCGCTGATCCGAAGGCAGGAGCCAGGTGCTTCTCCTGGTCTCCCATGGGGTGCAGGGCCCAAGCACTTGGGCCATCCTCCACTGCACTCCCTGGCCACAGCAGAGAACTGGCCTGGAAGAGGGGTAACCGGGACAGAATCCGGCGCCCCGACCAGGACTAGAACCCAGTGTGCCGGCGCCGCAAGGGGGAAGATTAGCCTAGTGAGCCGCGGCACCAGCTTAAAGTTTTTGAATACAGTCAAATTTATCAAATTTTTCTTATTCTACTAGATTTTGAACCATAACAAAGTTTTCCAAATTCTCCATAAAAAGGCAAATTTAATCTATGTTTTCTAATATTTGTAGGTTTGTTATTTATAATTAGATCCCTGATTCATTCAAACCTTATCCTGATGTACAATGTGAGGAACCAAATTTTTTGTCTTTTTCTAGCTGTCCCAGAACTGTTGATTAAAAAAGCTCCTCTTTGCCCAATGATTTGAGATGAAACCTTTTATTACACAGTGAATTAAATTCCCAAAATCAGACCTCTCACTGCTATATGGGTCTGATTACTCATGGGTTAGCCTCTGGCACACTTCTAGGTGAGTGACTTTACTACGTATCATAAAGCTTGGTATGGCCACTGCCACGGTGTAAAGCAGAGTGCTTAGCCACCCATTACTGCTCTTCGTTTTCAAGGTTTTCTTGGCTATTTTTGTTTGAGATTAATTTATTTCAAAGGCAGAGTCAGAGAGAGACAGAGAAAGATCTCCCATCCACTGGTTCAATCCTCTGAAGCCAGGAGCCTGGAACTCCACCTGGGTCGCCCACGCAGGTGCAGAGGCCCAAGCACTGGGCCATCCTCTGCTGCTTTCCCAGGCCATTAGCAGGGAGCTGGTTCGGAAGTGGAGCAGCCGGGACTCAAACCAGCACCCATATGGGATGTCAGCACTACAGGTGGTGTCTTAACCTGCTGTACCACAATGCCAGCCACCCGGTTATTCTTAAGTATTTATTCTTTCATATATGTTGTATAATTACCTTGTCTAGTCCCAGAAAAATATTTGAAGGCACTTTTATAGGAATCAAGTTAAACTCATGAATTAATACAGTGATAATCAACAACTTTAATGTATTCAATCTTTCTAGTGGATAGGAAGGAGCATGGTGTGTCTCCTTCACATCACCTGAAAATAGAGGTAACTTTTCCGAGCGTCTTATATATCTTACTATGTTCTCTTCTCCAGTATCTCCAGCACAATATTAAATAGCTGAGCACAAGCATCATTTTGTCCTGACTTAAGGGAGGTCTACACAGGACTCATCAAGATGTCAACTGAGCTTCTGGGTGGACGGCAGGTCCCTGCATGTGTGCTCACCAGCTGCCTCCAGGGCTGCTGTCCACCTTGGTCCTTCCTGAAGCCCTCCTTGGGTCTCTCTGGTCTTGTTTCATTTGCTTGCACATCAGCATATGGGGCCATTTCCCAGGGTCACCAGATGTTCTCAGATCTGTTTGCCCCAGTTTCCCTCA